GGATCAGACTGCTGCGCACTGGGAGTCTGACTGACAGCACTGTCACACCTGGACTGGATCAGACTGCTGCACACTGGGAGACTGACTGACAACACTGTCACACCTGGAGTGGATCAGACTGCTGGGCACTGGGAGTCTGACAGCACTGTCACACCTGGAGTGGATCAGACTGCTGCGCACTTACAAGAAGCTGAGTGCAGGCCGGGCTGGAGTCTTGAATTAAAGAGACCCCCTTAGTGTATTTAATTTGTGTATTATTTTGATGTTGTATTTCACTACTGCTGGTCCTACAGGGGTGTATTTTAATGTTTACAGTTAAAAAAGCGATTTTGCTTATTTAACTCGTTGTTGCTGCTGCTATGTGTTAATATTTTTGGTGTTTCCTCAATATCTCTGTCCTGGAGCCTACGTGCACAGAAGCCTTTCATTGCGCTTGTGCAGATGACCGTGAACTGAAGTGAGTTCTTAATGAGAAACAGGTTGGAAAAACCAAGCGGGCGGGCGCGCTATAGAGACCAGTCTCTGATTGGTCAGACGCTGCTGAGTGACAGGGGTTTCCACCTATTAGAGGAGCTGTTTCCCCAGCCGGGCTATTTGAACCCGTGGGAGGGGTGTACTCGTCATTTTTGTTGTGATGTGTTTTAAAGCAAACAGGTGCTTTGCTTTTACTGCAAGAACAAACGTGTTTTTCAAGGTAAGGGAAAGAGTTTTTCTGCACTTTAGCAAACATTTGCTTTTGCTGGAAAGCTGGTAAGTTAGCGATATGCTTTGGCGTGTTTTAAACTGAAACGCGAGGTAAATATGGATATGAAAAAGAGGTTCGTTTGCTTCATGTTGATGTATCTGGTTACAAAACACAGTTCTGGGAAGCTTAGACTGTCTTGCGTTCTGGGATGTGTAGCACCGTGGTGCTGTGTTTTGGTGCACTGCTAATTTGTTTATTACAAAATAGCTTGTTTTCAAAGCAATTAGTGTTCGTGTTTAGAGGCATTTGTGTTATTTTGAGAAACGATTTCAAAATGTTTGGGGAACTGAGACATGTCGCGTTGTAAGCAAATACACACGTGTTGTCGGATATGTCTGTTATGGGCTGTTCAATTGTAAAGACCCAGCAGTGTGTGTCTGTACTTCTTGATATTGTGTTGAAGTCTTAATAGGGATGTGTAGATTTTGGTATTTCAGCTTGTTAGTTTTATACACAAAATCCATGTTTTGGTTCAGTTTATTTATTTTTATGTGATAAACCGGTGTTTTAATGAGTTTTCAAACCTCATTAAATGCTAGAAAGAAAGTATTTTGTGTTGTCAAATGACATTTTCAACTCTGGATATAATAATACTGACCCACAAGAAATACCCAATTACTTTATAATAGAGAATTATATTTGTTTACAGCGTTAAATGGCAAAAGATGCACACAGCTGCTGTAAAAGTCATCAATAAAACAGGTCTCTGACATTATTTCTTTGAGAGATGGCGTTTGTGGTATCTGTGCTGGCATAATGTAAATAGTTCATTATATAAAAACAACAGAAAGATGAAACCAATAGACTTTTTGTGTGGTATTTGTAAATCCTTTCATTGTTAAAAACAAGAACATTTCTACAGAGGCAGCTACATGACACCCTCTCAAAACCACAGATTTTGCTGATACACATGAACATGAGAGAGTGTAGCTGAGACAGAGGGACTGTTGTCAGTTCTGTTTCTCTGTCTTGAGTCATTTTCACTCCACAGCTTTTCCCTGAAAGCTGAGTCCTGTCAGGTTTGTTTTACAGGCTGATCTTCTAAATCAACACCCGGGCTGTAGATGTTTTCTGTTTCTTCTTACTTCAGGGGGGAATTTGATCATTTAAAATACATTTAGATTGTATTTGTTAATAAGACTGCTTCAGTCAGAACCAGTGTTTCTTAGACACCAGGTTATGTTTTGCATGAATGTCAGTTATTTTGAGTTTCCCAGAGGTGGCAGCAGGACCCCAGAGAGGACAGGGTGTCCCCAGGGAGGGCGAGACCACTGTCTACTCTGACCTCAGGACATGTCTTCTGCAGGGGGCAGCACAGCTCAGACTGACCCAGTGTTCCCTGTAATAGAAGATTACTGGCTGCTCACTGTGCTGCTTATTCTGTGTGATGGACAGACACTGTACTGGGTATTCAGTATAATAATCACTTAACTCTGTTTTCATTATGACGGACAATGACTGTACTATGTGTTCAGTGGAATAATCACCATAGTGGGTGTTCAGTATAATCACTGTACTGGGTATTCAATATACTAATCACTGAACTGTTTTCATTGAGGGACAATGGCTGTACTGGGATTTCGATATAGTCACTGTACTGGGTATGCTGTATAATCACTGTACTGGGTATTCACTGTAATAATCTCTGCGCTGTGTGTTCAGTATAATACCTGAACTCCATATTCACTATGACAGTCACTATACTGGGTGTTCACTGTTATAATCGCTGCACTAGGTATTCACTAAAAGTTGCTCAACTGGATATTCACTATAATAATCACTGCACTGAGTGTTCACTGTAATCACTGCACTGGGTATTAATAATCACTGTACTGGGTGTTCACTGTAATAATCACTGTACTGTGTGTTAATAATCACTGCACTGGGTGTTCACTGTAATCACCACTGCTTGGTTTATTCCGTGTGCTGTCTGTTATTCACTGTACAGATAAATCCCTGTGTTTTGGTGATAGGTGGGCTCCTGAGAAGACTGCCGAACCCAGAAGAGGGAATGTAATTAGAGAGGAGGGACAGTGAGGTGAGCTGATCATTGTCTTGATGAGAGCAGC